TAATCTCTGTTTGACACATATATATAAATATACCTATATCAGTCTATTAATTAATAAAATTTCCTACGAATTCAAAGTTTTTGCAATGATGAGAAGTAATAATTCTTTATTTTGTTGAGCCACTGTACTGCGGCCTATTGTGTGTGCGATTTCAGAATTAAGAGAAATGTAATAGTTATAGTGTATTCAGGATCATCAAATGCTTCTAGTCTTTTAAAGCAGTGTTTGTCAAATCAATCATAAAGTGTGTAAGGATTCGTTGTAATTAAAATGTTCGCTTTAAATTCTTGTAAAAGTTTTTATTTTGAAACTTCTTTGTTGTTACATTTTCAATATTATTTTTCTTCAATAGATCATTATTTGCTCGGTTTTCTTGAAAATATTTATTAATAATTGTAATATGAACATTGACGTTTTTCACTATTAACGGATGTAGCCAGTTTCAGTTTGTCTTTATTTATTTGTAACTTATAATATCTTTTTTTTGACTAGGGCAGTTACCTGTAGAATGAAATAGAAACAAAATAAATGATGAAAAACAGGTTAATATCGATTTTCAATGCTGCGCAAAATGTTTGAATTACGAAATTGAATACAATTTTCTAAACAACTTCATAGCAATTCATCCATAAGTTTTCAAGCAGAAAACTCAAGTTTGAATTTTTAGTCTTTTTTGAATATCATATCTTAAACAAAAATACATATGCCATTTATTCATATATAGGCTTCCTAACAATGTCCTGCTCTGTTTTCAGCAATCTATTTTCTGTGTTACAATGGACGAAGACTAAACAAAGCCTGTCTATTCCAAATAGAGTTTGGATTGGGACACTAGGTAAGTACTCTATACATCAGCATACTTGTACTTGAAGTATGAAGCAAGACTGATGATAACTTCATGTATGAGATATATATATATATAGATATTGCTCCGTAGGAGAGGTTCGACTCTAGATAACGAGAACTATTGTAGAAAAACAAGTTCTGAAGAAATAAAATATGTAAAATGTCAAGTTTCTTTGGCTTCTAACCAACATATTAGCTATGAAGACTAAATCACATATATAACAGCTGCCTGAATGATGCCCAGCACGAAAATGAACAAAAAACATCTCATTTGAGAGTAATAGTGGTGGAAAGACAGAGAGAGGTGGCTCACGGCACTGGATGTGGCGATAAAAATGAATGTATTAGGTGCTCTAATTGTCTAACTCTAGTCTTTTCTTGTTACAGTTCTATTTCAAAAGGTGTTAGATCAATGAATAAATTTGTATATGTGTTTATAGTCCTCTAATACAATTTCATATCAAAATGGAAATATCGATACATAGATAAGATATATGCGATCTTCTTGGATTTTTATACAGTAAAGTTTCATAGGAACTGGTATGAAATGTGCAATTATAATGTTATCTCACTGTAGTTGTAGAAACGTTTCATATATATCATCTATATTATAAATTTGCTTTCTCTAGTATGTGTAAGATAACAAATCTTTTTTTGATCTCGTACTCACCGTTATTGTAGAAAAAGTTGAAAGCGTTATTTTCTTTTGAATTCCCTCTGAAATAAATGAAAGATTATAGATTCGTCTCTTGATCAAAAATGCATACATTAATATGGACTTATTTATAGGTTTCTTGATAGGCACAGAGACATAGTTTTTTAAAGATTGTGTACGTATTTGATAAATTATTTTAAAACTATAGCCACATTTTCTATGTACAAAAATGTACAATGTAATTGCGCTTCTCTAAATAACATCTACAGCTAGTTTTGCGCAATATGGCTATCAGCTTCTGTTTTTTATGGATAAATTGCTGCAATTACTAAATTGTAATGTGAATCAGTTGAAACATTTGACTTGTCTTCTTGTTCAAATGGCATTTGAAAATAACTTCATTTTAGATCTAGTTTTGAGATTTACTTGAAATGACTGCATATATTTAAAACTTATTACGCTCGTGTTTTCATATATGACGGTAATCTTGACACAGGTTTACTAAACATTTTTAATCTTGTGTTCATGACCAAGGTTAGTTACAATAACTGAAAAATTAATATGAGTAGCTTATAAGAAATCATGCTAGTATTAGAATGATGGACACGACAAGGGTTGCCATCCATTTATATATATATATATATATATAACTAAAAGAACCGTCAATTGACTGTTTTATTTCGTTCGTATTTCTCTAGAAATCATTATTCTTTGGCGCACGTGTCATCTAGGACAAAAATGTAAGCAATGTCCGTTCTAGTCATAGCACTAAGAAGAGATCATTACATCAGTCTCATAAATAGAGAATGCACCATGTATTATGTTGTAACCGATTATAACGCGTATTCTAAGAACTATTTAATTGAATAACAGTTTGTAGGTAGCAACACTACAGACGCCATATAAAAATATTATCGTAATTGATTGATTTTCTCTGAACTGAGACTATTTAGTACGCATTTGAATATCATTATGATAGTAATCATTAATGAAACTCGATCAGATAAAAGAAAATAGTTTGAAAGGATGCATATACATGACTTGTGTTGTAACCAATGAAAAATATTACTCAGATTCTCTATTCGAAATATTATTTTTACGCCTTTTCAGAAGAATAGCTCCCCTTACAAGCTATAGTCTCAATGTTGAGACTTCATACGTTGTTTTTGATAATTATTACGAAGAACAACTGTTTTCAAATTCAAAACATATCTATTTTAATACCAAATATCATCTTTTGTACTACAGTCTACACCAATATCTACAAACATGTTTTTCTCGCCAATTTTTCGAGCCAATCTAATTATTTTTTAATAAGTTTGATTATTTGGAAAATTAAAAAGCTTTTATTAAATTGATTTGCTGTCGTTTGCTAAAGATACCTTTCTTGGTATATTGACCACATAACATAATAACATTCAATAAATAACTAGAAGTAAATAATAAAAAGTAAAATAACAAGCAACATATTAAATTCTAACACAAACAGTTCATTAAAATAATTTTTATTTCAATGAAACAAAATACAAAATTTAAAGAGTGCTTTTGGTGTCACTATTGTTCAATCAATGTATCAAAATAGATGATTCATCTTATAAGTTAAGATACAGAAAATTCTTGTCATCAAGCTAGTGCCGCATGTTTCACATAACTTGGAAGTAAAATTGTATTTACATTTTGATAAAAGTTGATTCAGTGTTTGCCATTATGAGCGATCTTTATAGTAAGCCGATAATCATCCATTCATTGAATTTAACTAAATGAAACATAGAATGTCTTGTTAAACTATGAATGACAGCATATTTTATTGTAAGTGTCAATGTAGCAGCTTCGTAACTGATTTGAATCACATATATTCAGCTACGTCAATGACAGCATGTATTAGGTAAAGTTTTCATCTACAGTAAATAAGAATGCAAGGCAGCTAGACTAATACAAAAAATAACAGCTAGCGATCCTAAAAAAATCACTAACATTATGAACACTCCATGTATCATGTAAAAAAATTCTCCAAGAACCGTTTTTGATAAAATGAAAACCAACTGTTCTTAAATCATCTTCTATTGAACCGGTAAATAGTGCACCAAAATGGGCAAATAACATTATCAGTAACTGTACAAAAAAAAATCAAACAATAAGACAAGAATCGTATTCAATTGTTCTTTTTCATTCTAATCGTACATCGGTATTGAATAATGACCGAAAACAGAACACAAATAGAGAACCGAACGTAGAAAAAAGATCATCGTCATCTTGTATTGGATTTCTATTTTGAATCAATCACTATAAAGCAGAATGCCAAGTGAAGTCCAAAATAGGTTACTAGAAAAGAAAAAAGTTGAGTATGATATTTCAGAAACTATTGTATTTCAAATACATCGAATAGATTGACAAAAATAGATTAGTGGATTGACGTAATTTATTAAATAAAGTAAATAATTAAATTGGATTTGCTTTGTCTACAATAGCATCAAATACAATAAGTATAGATATAGCAGCAGAACTAGTGATAGTAATTCATTGGAAATCTATTACAAAGGTTCACGACTTGATATTAAAATCAAAAATATAATCATGAATAATTAAACTACATTCCATGATAAACGCGACTACAAGATAATTATAACAAACTGTATCACAACCAAAATATATGATAAACAAAATCCGATGTGTTGTTCTTCTCTTTGCAGAATGAATTTCAACAATTCTTTATTATGTTTTATTAATACAATTAAAAATCCAAAACAAATAAAGATCATAACGTGAATATCTCGAAACATCGCATAGAAATCAGCAACACCTTGATAAGACTCTGATATTTCATATTTAATAGACAAAATTATTCTATTTGTAAAAGTATTAGTTCAATAAACTGTTGATGTTAAAGGCGATGACTTGATGACTACAGACAGCTCATGACACTTTCATTTACCATGCTTGAAAATCAAACAATATGCCAGGAAAGAAGCTTATATTTTTTTAGCAAATTTTCCCTTAGTTACTGATATCAATTTGATCGTTGTCTTTTTTGTTGTTACTGCTTATGAGGTTTCTAATCCATATTCTTCTAGCTTATACAAGTTAAGAAAAAAATATATTCTTATAAAAATATGGCGACATACGTCATAGTAAAAGTACTTCCTACTATACTAAAATAACATTCAGTTAAATGTTATATTATATAATTCAACTTGTTATGTTCTTCAAACTTGAAAAGTTATCGTTGGATACACATTAAGTAGCAAAATTTTTTACCATAGTTTAATTATGAATGAGAAAACATATTACCGTAGAAGAAAAAAATGATCAGATCTATTTATTACAATGTAATCAAAGTTATTCATTCTCACTCCTAGTTGAATATTAAACATAAAAAAAAAGTGGATTCAAGTCAAACAATACAAGAATAAGATCACAAAAGGAAAACAGAACGAGATTATGCATTAGATACTGAATCTGATGTATACACAAGAGGTCAAGATCTAAATAAAGAAAGAACTCAAGTACGATATTTCAATGTACTAGAATCAAATGTAATAAGAATAGGACTAGGTTGAACTCTATGATTATGATAAGAATTAGGTAATGTGGATAATAATGATGGATCGAAACTATATCGACTATTGGCTACATCAAGTTCATTAATTTCTGGCACAGCTTCAAGTGGAAGACGAGAACCATTTTTACGAGTTTCTACATCACCATATGGTACAGGTGAGATATTATCAGCTGAAATTGGTTCAAAAAATGAAGTCATCTTAGTTTCGTCAGTTGCTGTAAATGTTAGAGTCGATGAAACAACTGCATTTGGATTGTCTATTGATAGAGAACCACGCGTTAATTGTGGTGTAACTATTAGATTTGATATAACTGAATCACGACAACGTGGTATTGTTGTTACTTTAGCTAAGGATATTGTTGAATCAGTTAAACTTTCTTGAGGTGATGGTAGTCCAATTGGAGCAGTGGATGTTTGATGTATTATTCGGTTTTGAGATTGATAAAGTGGTGTTGTTGGAAGATCATTTGATTTAAGAAGGCTTGCATGATACCGATCAACTTTTAGATGAGAACAATCACCTAATCTATATAATTTCAAAAACAAAGAGAATTATTATTCAATCAATTTTTCATACATACTTGTATCGGATATGAGACAGACAACAACATTTCCATTTAGAATCTATATAAGAGAAAAAAGCACGATTCAGTACTTAAAAAACAGTTCATAATATTTTTTTCTCTACCACATTCAAGATCCGTAATATAAGATCGTCGATGGTAATAATATTTAATTACACAAAATATACAGAAACAAATCGATGCTATTGTTAATATGGTCAATATACAAAGTAATATTATAAGTAAACGACTTGATCCATTATAGGAATGAATTGCATTGAATCCTGAACATATAAGAAAAAAACGAAACTTATTGCATTTTAGAAAACAATTTAAGGGTACTCTGCTCTTTTTTAATCGTTTCTGATTCTCGAAGAGTATACAACCGATCAGATTGAAATTTTTACCATAGATAGAGCATTTCAAATAAGGAGAAACGTGTTCGAGGAAAAAAACTTTAAGGAATGCTTTCCATAGAATTGCATTTCAAAGAAGGAGAAACGTGTTCGAGGAGAAAAAACTTTAAGGAATGCTTTCTATAGGATTGCATTTCAGTATATTACGACCCTAATAAAACTTTATTCGATTCAGCTGAAACTTTGTTTGAGATATCGTAAAGGTAGTTTTGAGTGTTTTCAAGAATCTAGTTTTCTTTTTTATATGACGAGAGAAACACATAAAGATTCGGAGTCAAAAACTGAGTGTTAACTGTCAGAACCTTATAAATCCAGATTGCAAAGTCACAAACGAGAACCCATGATTTTATTGTAAGAATACTGACAATTATTTGTGGTGAAAATGTTGGTCTGATTGGGTGAAGTTAAGGAGAAGACATGAGAAATCAGAATTAAGAAAACTGATGTTTCGCATTATGTTAAGTAAAAAAAGAGAATTACAATATGATTACTATGAAAAAAACTCCTTAAATTTAGTAGCTCTGTAAGAGTAACGTATTTGCAGTCGAATGATGTCTCTAATAGCACATGACATTTGAAGTTATCATACTTTATGTCAAGCACAACAACGAGTTTTTGGTCAAAAAAAGACTAGAGAGGAGAGGGTATCCTTAAATACATACGAATATTAATTTGTGATTCAATTGGCAAACTATATGTTCCTTGATCTGAATAAGACATCACTTGTATAATATATTTTGATTGTTTTATATTTTTTAATATATATGAACGAGTAGGATAATAAACAAGAATTGATTGCTGTGATTGTTGATTATTAAATAAAATTGTTGAACGCCATTGTATGACATAGTAAACAATATTTATTGGTGAATCAATCATATTTGGATGATTCCATGTTATATGAAGATTTAATCCCGATTGATATAAATGAAAATTTATTGGTGATAGTGGTCGAAATAGTGTTGTTTCATTTGCATAATGGAGATAATCAATTGATGAATTTTGTGTTTGATTTAAAGGAATTGTAATAATTGGAGTAAATGTTCCTAGACCTAAGTCATTTTCTGAAACAATTGTTAATTCATATGTTTGCTTTAATTTTAAATCAAATAATGTAAATTCTGTTGCATTGTTTGGTAATACACGAATTTGATTCCAATTTCGTTTTTTTTTATGTAATGTTCGATACCAGATGATAAAATGTTGAAATCGACCACCATCATAACCAGGTTCCCAAGAAAGGAAAAGATTTGATGATATTTGTTTATATTGAATATTATGTGGTGCTTGTGGTGTCGTATCTAGTGGAAAGAAACAAAATAAAAAATTTCTCATGAATGACGATAAAGGAAATAGTGACATTGACCATACTCCTTTCATAAAAGGAGAGCGTAAGTCTCGACTCATATTGAAGCCATATGTAAATTCCACTGAGACTTGTAAAAGTACAAGAGTTTCATCTTCGCGAGCCTACGTCGCCGATCGATGATCATTTTAATGGATTTTCGGTTCATTTGTAGGTAATGCCCAAAAATCAAATGACAAAATCTTGATCTAAGATTTTGCCTATAGATAAGGATAATAGTTCTTAAAATAACTGTAAAGTTTCAGCTGAAAAAAAAATCTTCCTTCGTTAAGATATTGAATCTCTCAAAACAGCTCTCTGTCACATTCAAGTCCTAAAAGTCGAGTTCACTTGAACATCCAATAACACGACGAGAAATAAATTCTTTTCGACTGAAACTCTCAGAGTATTCTGCCGGTCATTCAGTACACTGATGGACTAGACTTCACGTCGAAATTCTATTTTTCGGTATATACTCGAAATTGTGTTTAAAATTTAGTAAAACGATCCTAACTTGGCTCCGAAAGCCCATGGGTAGGAACCATTTTAGACTTTTGCTAGTTCCATCGAGATATTTTTGTAGGCATAATATGAATTCAAACGGCGAGTATCATTGCGGATGGTTCCTTCATCGGTCAATTTTTGCCCAACAGACTGCCTCCAACTGTCTGTCAAGTCGGTAGCGTCTTCTACTTCTAAAAACTATGGAGTCCTGAAAGAGTCTATACTTTTCCTAACTATCAATGCTAAGTATCGTACCACATCCAATAGTTCGAAGCTTTCATCAAAGGTGCAATATCTTAGACTAATTCAACCCTGATGAAAGATTTATCTATGTCAGAATACTTTCTAATCCGAAATGAACAATATCACAATTCGAATATTATGTAATGATCAGCACAAATGATTTTTTCATTCATCTATATCATTATTTCGACTCACTTTCAACAATAATTGATGTAGTAATATTCGTGGTTGTATGTTTGTTTGATGCTTGACATATATATGAACCATGATCGGTTTTATCAATATATTGTAATGTCAAATTTTCATTAACTTCATCTAATTCAATGGAATTCTAATTATTAAAAACACAACTATTATTTATATGGAAAAAGACAAAAACTTTTTTCATACTTTAAGCCATTTTATAGTTGGTGGTGGATTACCAAAAGCAACACATGGTAATATCAGCTGATCTCGTTCATTAACATGATAAATAGACTGTGGTTTTAGAATAAATTTAATTGGTTCTATAATTTATTTGTTTTTTTTTAGACAATATATAAATTAATAAATAAAAATTCAAATCAAACCTTTTGTTTCAACATAAAATAGTATACTATCATCACCGAATCCTTCAGAATTTTGTGCACGACAAAAATATTTACCATCATCATCAATCCCAACAGATTTTATTATTAAACCATAATCAGAATTAATAGAATATGAACCACCTATAATTATAAAATATTTTAATAAAAAACTAAAAACTCTGCTTGTTTTTAGTAAATTACCTTTTGGTTCGATACGTATAGATTCACCATTTCGATACCAGGAAACAGATTGAATTGGTGGATAAGCATCAAGTAAACATGGACAGATACCTATTGAACCTCGAATAAATGTTAAATTTTTTGTTTGATGATTATGCGAAGGTATTGGTGGATCTAATTATTATTTACTTTTATGAATTTCAAAAATAAATACAAAGAAATAGTTAACTTACATTTAACAGTTATTATCGCTGGTTTACTACGAACACTAGCTGAATTTATTATACTTATTATACATACATATGATCCACGATCAGAAGGTTCAATATTATTAATACTAAGAACACCATCACTATAAGTTTGTATACGATCTCGTGATGAGACAGTTTCTGATATAGGATAATCATCTTTCAACCTATATATAACAAATGTTGTATGATAAATTTTCTACATATACTAGGTCATCGAAAAAATAATCAGATAAAATGTTCATTGATTTTTCAGTCTTTTTAATGAGTCTTCAGAATCTTGAAAACATTGGATTAGAATTAGAATTTCATGTTCTTGCTCAGTATGGGTTTCAAATTTTTGTAGAAATTCCTGTTCAGAAGTTATGACTCGACCTTTTAAAAATTCATAAATAAAATATGGATGTACTTAAGTGTGCAAAAAATCATCCAAGGTAGAAGTGGCACTTATTTCAAATATAACAAAGTGAAAGAGTAAATATTTCTCAATCAAATGGTATCTTAATAATTAGTCGGGTCTAAGTCATGACTTAAGGATGAATGTTTTGGTAAGGAACACCATGCCAGTTTAGACAATCTTCTCTATTTCTATGACAAGCAGACTTGCAATGTAAGCTCAATCCAATGAGGAAACAGCTAACTCTGTGACATTACAAACATATCGAGTCATTAAAATCAATAAAAGCACTTGGAATCAACTGTTTTACCTTCAGAAATTCCTCGAGTATATCTTGAATCACACTTTGTTGTCGTTTGAATGAGAATAGAAGATAGTTCTACGCAATCATAATAGTCAATAGTAGGATTGAGATGTTATCCTTATGTTACCAACTATGAGTGACGAAGAATTTCTATACTTGGTGTTTTTCATAAGGTAACGATTTTTTTTTATGAAGTTTAACCAACAATCTTTACAATCGAGAAATCCGAATATGTAATTCAAGTCTTGAAATTCTATACTTCATTTTTTGATGCAGCAAGGACTATTTTCATGCACTTACTCAAGAAACCCATTATAGATTCAAGTTTCTCAATCTCAAAAACTTCTAATCAACATTTATAAAAGATCATGATATTCTCTTAACAATTATTTTATAACCAAAGATCAAATCTACGAATTCTCAGTCACCTATTACTTGGCTACGTAATAGTAATTCTCTTTCCCTATTCTAATGCCCAGAAACATTTTTGAATTACTGAAATCAGCTTTTTTTTCCTTTTGACTTGGTCACTCCTAACTGATTCTTCTGACACGCTTACTTCTTATATCAGTCTGTAGAGAACAATTTTTCTTTTTATTCTATGCAATTAAATCATTAATCTAGCATATGCAGTAAAGGAGACTATTGCAGCAAAATATGTCAATTATCTGTCTAAACTTAATTCATGGGACTCTAAAATGTCGACTCATAACTCCTAGATCAGAAACTCTACAAGAATTGTACACCTATATTCGAAAAGAACGCATAATCCTGTTTCTAACTCAATGCTTTCAAATACCTACAAATGCTTTAAGTAGACTGAAAAATGAGTAAACATTTGGTCTAATTATTTTTCGATGACTCATTAATGATTCAAACATACCAATTGTATTGTAATTTTTCACTACTTTCACCTTCACACTTTAAAATCAGGCTATCATTTATTTTTACAGTTTGACTTTCAGGAAATCGTCGCCAATAGATAGAACCTTTTATAATCGAATATTAAATATAATATAAAAAAGGAAAAATCTTTTTATACCACGTATAAGAAATTGAAAGTCATTGTGTATTTTACCAAGTCGATTTTTTCCAATGCATCTATACTGACCAGCCATACGATCATCCACATTATGAAGAGTCAATCTATATAAAAACAAATAGAAATCAAAAATGTATACAAATAGACCTATAAGATTATACATACTGTTGACTATCAACTAAAAGTAATTCTAAGTCTTCATCTTTGATCGTCTGTTTATTTTTCTCAAGAATTCGATACCATGTTACTATTGGAACCGGAACTCCATAAATGTGACAAATGAAATTAACTGTTGAATAATATGAAGCTACTTGTAATGAATTCGATAGATTAATAAAATATGGTTGTTCTAAAAATTTTATTTCATTTTTTTTACAAGAAACATTACATTTAAAAAAAAACATACCATTGACACGAAGTGTAATAAAATATTTATATTTTATATCCAATAGACCACGATCAATTAAAATTAATCGACATTCAAATGTATCATTATCACTTAATTGAACATTTTCAATAATTAATGAACCATTTGAAATAAGACTATATTTATTACGATAGATATCATCAATATGTACAGGGTAATTGTTAAATTGACTAGCAATAGGTTTTGTATAATTATTTTTTGAACGATACCATTGAAGTATCGATGGAAGTGTCCATTCATTTCGATCTATTGGACATGGTATAATAACATTGATATTACCGATTTCACTATCGATTATTATTAATGATGATAGTACAGAAATTACGTTTACTATTGATACCAATTATAGAAATGGTTTATTTTATAAAACGAAATGTTTCTTTTTACCTGAATAAATGAGAAGAAAAATGTTGATGATTGATAGTAGAATCGACATTGAATAATAACATAATTTAATCAAATCAAAAAAATTAATTACATTTTGAAATCTGAAACCAAGTTTTATTTCATTGATAAGTCATAATTACAAAGATAGTGGAATGCGTTATGTAAATATGAAATCTCATTTTACCATAAAGTTCAAAAAAAGGTAAATGAACGTACGAACGAAACAGATGGCAAGTGTATCGAATGCATAATAGGGTCAGGCATGACATAAAATACAAAAAAAAACGATGTAGAGGAGTGTTCTTGTTCAAATTGAAACAAGTTCTTTGATAAAACAGCAGACAGCTACTTGTATATTCATTCAATTCTTTTCGATGACATCCATAAGTGTCTGTTCGACTTCTGTTTCTTTTTTCTTTCTTCAACCACAAAAAAAGAGTTATATTTTGCTTCAGGGATATGAACAACTTCTATATTATTCTTTCGTTTATACCCACTCATACCTTCATATTTATATCGACAATAAATTGAACAGTTAGTCTAAGTTGTTCAAAAACATGTATTATCCATTTGAGAACAAATGAAGAATGACATTATAATACAAATATATATATATATATGTATTATATCAAAAGGTTAGGATTGCCTAGATAAAAGAAGAACAAGATAACGACCTTGTTTTGTTGATGATTAACATCATATAAAGCTGAACTTAACAAAAGAATAAAAAAAAAGCGATTATAGGCAAATCTCTTACATTGATCATCTATTTAAAATTGCATATTATCAGGCTGATGTTCACTTGCTCAATAGTCATCACTAGAGATGTGCATTAGACTCTGAACTCTGATTTTGTCGGAGTTGATGTAAAGTACAGAAACACCGACAACATGTTTCAATTGTTTTGTTATGTAAGGTAACTCGTTGAAAGTAACCCCAGCCTTGAATTGTATTTTTTGAAGTTTTATTTTTATGGTACTAATTCAACAGAATCGTATCCTTTTCTCTTATCAAATATAGAATTTATTCGTGTACAATACTCTCAAATTAGATATGATCCGTCAAATTATACTAGTCTTAAATTACATAATTTCTTTGAACTTGTAAGCTGTTACTAATTTACGTAAAGAAAAATTTTCGGAGCTGAATTTTAAAAGTTTACCTGTGCAGGTCGTCAGTTACTACTTACTCTTTCTATAATAGATAATAGGACATTACACATTACTTCAGTTTATAATAGCTATAAACCTAGATAATGTATGTGTAACATAGACATATTAAATTGAAACTATGTTTGATGAAGCATACAATTTATATATTTATGTAAGAAACAGTAATAATTGTTCTATCAACTTGTCGATGAACTGACTGAAAAAGACAGATAGACAGACGAACTAATTACTAGTCATTAACTAAAGATATATGTAACTGACAAAAACAATATATATATAGAAAGAAAAGATCACGTCACGCTCGATGAACAGATACATGCGAGACGACAAAAAACAAAGAGTCGTTTTTTGTAATTTATATGTATATGAAATATTGATAAATATACAATCATTCATCGTTATTCATTACATACCCTAACTCTCGTTCGTTTGGACTCTTTATACAAGTATTCTCTATATACCACCTCTTTCGGATATAACTATCAGAAATATGAGCGCAACGAGAAGAAATAATGGTCAACAGGTCAAAAAGCATTTGTTCGTAATGATGATTGAAATAACACGCTTATTCTCCCTCTTTTCTTATATATGTATGTATGCAAATAACTCTACATGTTGAGATGATTACATAGTCACACAAACATTAATCGGAAGGAAAAGGCTTGTAACAGCTCTTCATTCAAACATCGTGCTAAATGAACGTCAGCTAACAACAACAAATATAAAAACAACATCAACAATTCTCTAGTTTTATATATGTATTGTACGTATGGCATTAGATAGAGAAAATTGACCATCTAGTGTGTGGCGAGGTCAGCAACAAAAGATAACAACACATTCTTTTCTTTATGCCAATCAAATGAGTTCCTGTGGTGATATGTCCTTCTCACTTTTTTGTCTTTTCTGTCTGATCTTTTTTTCTTTTTTTTTTTGACATTATCTATTCATCTGATATCTTTTCAACGAGTAACATAATGATGACTATTCACAAAAAATAATCAAATATCACAAGCAACAATCAATTTTCCGCCGACTAATCATCCGTACAAAATAAGAGAAGTGAAATTTTTATCACCTTCTTCTATTCGTATCAAACATTTTTAAAAAAAGAGATTAAAATGTAATAAAAAAAAAATAACAGCTACTCACTTGAATCAAATACAAACACATCACACTTGTTTCTCCTTTTGTATCTTTTCTCCCTTGTTCTCTTTCTTCGTTTCTTTCATTATATTATTATGAACAGGAAATCATTGAAACAATGCCTATTCCTGTTCTATTCTGTTGGATGAAGAGAAGAGCCAATGTTCGCATATTGACCATGGTCCAGAATAGAACATGAAAAGGAACGCCATCTTCAAAATAAATTATGGAACGTCAGTTGAAATAATATAGGAAAACAATGACTTAGCATCAATCATTGAAAACAATTTTCTTCTTCTTTATTACTTTTGTATTTTTACTCAGCAATTCCTTTTTAGTCTTGATGATGATTTATGTTCATGTACATTAGGTATAGAGCCCGTCAGATGCGAAATTTTCGTACGTGGATTCAATTAGATCTGAGACCAATTTTATGAACTGTAATTACATAGCATACTTAATTAAAAGTGTTGTCACTAACAAGACTAGTGTATTTGATGAAGATTTTCGTGAGTTTGGTTTTCTTTGGCTTGTGTAGACTTTTCGCATGAGAAGAAATTGTTGTCATTCTTAAGCAGAAAAATTTTTTAAATTTAAATATTTTTATTTTAAAACCGAATAAGTAGTCGAAACTTGTAAACTAATAGAAATAATTGTGCTGCTAGGTGTATCGCATAGTGCTTCTTCTAACAATAATTAATTATTTCAGCTATGGGCCATATTTTTTGTCTATAAAACTTAATTTTATAAATTGAGAAAAGAAATACAGCTTGAGCTTTGTTATCCATTAGAATATGATATTAGAAAACGAAATTGCAAGGTTCTTCTTAAGAGTTCTTTTCGTTTTCTTTTTGATTTTAAAGAAAATATATGTAAATATGAAATAAGATAGCTGATGTCTTCAGTTTTGATGCCTAATTATAATTTATACTGATAAATGTTTTATCGATTAATTTCGATGAAGAAGTTCAGTTTATTCTTATTTACATGAATATACATTTGAACTAGAATGACAAACAATTTTTCACTTAAAATTTGAACTCTATTTCATTTGTACAGAGTAAATTTCTATTTTGTTCTAATTTCTTTTATTATATATATGCTAACATGGGCATAATAGAAACGAAAAGTTTTTTTAATACATTTTCTTAATAATTCGGCCTATATGAATTATATGGATTTTGATGGCGCTGTGAGTAATAGCTATCTGGTTGTCGTGGACGAAAACCACCATCCGGTTGTCGAGGGCGATAACCACCATCTGGTTGTCGAGGACGGTAACCACTATCTGGTTGTCGTGGACGATAACCACCATCTGGTTGTCTTGGACGAAAACCACTATTAGGCTGCCTTGGAGGAAAAAAACCACCAGACTGTCGTTGAGGGTAATCTTCACTTGATTGCCGTTGAGAATAACCCCCATCTGACTGCCGTTGAGGATAACCTCCACCGGACTGCTGTTGAGAATAATACCTATCTGGTTGACGCTGAGGATAATATCCGCCTGGTTGTTGTTGTTGTTGTTCTTCTTGTTGATAGGACTGTTGTCCACCCATTGAATGACGAATAAAACGATGAGCTGTTGCAAAATCTCTTTGATATTGTGGTCGTTGTGCAAAACCTAGATTTGGTTGATAAGGTGTCATTTGATCATAATCTCGAGGTTTTAATGTTGCTGATGGCATTGTAACATTCTCTAATAATTTAGCTTTAAATATATAATCATCATCAAATGATAAATCTCGATATTTAACACAAATAACTTGATTATTAATTATATCTTCACAATTAAGTAATGGTGGTTTAATTAATTCTCCAATAGGTTTTATTTTATCATCATCATCAGGCCATATTTGTCCAGCCATACCTCCACTTAACATTGTTGGCATATCAAGTGGAGTTTTTCTTGTCACTTGATTTTCACCTGGAACATATAATTCTTTAAAATAATCATATAATAAATTACTTGAATGTATATATAAACGATCATAATCACGTTTATTACGTATTTGTTCTTCCTGTGTTAATGTTGAATAGACATGATCAAGTGTACGATGTAAACGTTTTTCATCAACAAATGGTAATAAAGCAACACCTTGCCATTCATAACGTTTACCATTAAGATCCACACAAAAATTTAATGGATAAAAATCAATTATTGGCGATTCTTTCTCTATCATTAATGATTGCCATTCAATAGGTAGGAATTTCCGAGATTGTGATGGAAATACAGCCATTAACTGTTCTAATGGTTTAAATGGTTTTGTTGTTTTATCAAAAAATACTGACACATTTCTAACTTGCAGAAAATCAGATGCAAATGGTGCATAATGATAAGGAAAATACCTAAAGCAGAAAAATAAAAGTAAATGATAATTCAAATGAAAGTTAATATTAAAAGATAGTTCATGCGAAGACCGAAGTATTGTTCAAAATCTCAATATCTGATTTTTTTAATCTGTATTTGAAAAGTCATCATCTAGAATCAGTAAATCCAACTTTTTAGTTCATTTGGATGTTTTATAGTAAAGTTAGTCAAGATCGGCTTTTCAACACTATCTATTTACGATTCAGAAAATAATGATGAACTATCGTATTCATGTTTACTAGAATTACACTTCAACAAGCTACAGATTTTTTTCATCCCGTGTACTAGAAGATAGAGCACCAACAGCTGAAAAAATAGACTACTTCAAATTTTATATGTCATCTGTTAACTGGGGTTATATAATCAAACATGAATGAAA